AAAAAAAAAAAAAATGAAATAAAAACAAAAAAAAGAAAAGGAAGAAAGGTGATGGGGTAGTGAAGTCACTCAGAAAAAATAAATAAATAAAAAAGGAAATGAATGGATCGGTGGATTGAGAAAATGGGAAAGTTGGGGTGAAATTGATTTTCACATTACTGTTTTGTTTTTTTCTTTTCTTTTTTTTACTGATTCGTTTCGTTTTATTTCTCACGATTGTTCTTCTCTCTTTATTTCAAGAAACGTATAAACTCTTTTTTATTATTATTTCAGAATCCGTCATCATTTTTGTTTATATATATATATATATATATATTTATGTATATAAACTATTTTGACTCATCTCGCTATCTTGTGATTGTGTATGTGTTGTCTTGGGTTTTTTCTTCTTTTTTTTTCCTTACTGCTATTGTTACTACTCTTGCTAATGATTTTTTTTTTCTTTTGTTTTCATGCTTACAGTTTGTTGATGATCTTTTTCTTTATTTCATTTCGTTTTTATATGGTTGCGGTCTAATCCTTTCAGCCCTTATACATATACATCTATATTTATATATATATATATATATATATATATATATATCTGTGTGTGTGTATGTATATTGGGTTGGTTCTGTGTATGCAAATTTTGTACACAAGCAGAGAACATGAGAGAAAGAAAAGAAAAAGAAAAGAGAGAGAGAGAGAGAGAGAAGAAAAAATAAAAGAAAAACACACAGAGAAACAGCAGATTGGCATACAATGATAATAATAATGATGATGATAAGAGAGAAGGAATACGCATTTTTATTATAGTGAACTCTCTTTTTCTCTCTTTGGTAGTCTCTGTCTGTCTGTTTGTCTCTCTCTCTCTGTGTGTGTGAGTGTGTTTTCTTTCTTTTTTTCTATTCGGAATCTCTGTTAAACAGTAAAATAATAAAAAGGAAAAGAAGGAGGGTGCTAGTGAAAACGAAAAGATGAAAAAAACAAACAAACAAATAAACAGAAAACAAAGATAATGACAAGGGAACTGCAAGGAAAAGAAAAGAAAAAGGAATAATTTTGAATGGGCTCTATTTCACCAATACATATATATATATATATATAATCCTAATATGAATTCAGGAATACATTTCTGTTCTTGCTTTGTGGGGGTGTACTATTCGTCTTGTGGGGTTATTTTGCTTCTGAGAGGGAGAAACAACTGTTGCTGGCAAGTTCATAGAAATAAAATAAAAGAAAAAAGAAAAGAAAAAAACAAACAAAGAATGAAAGAAAGAAAGAATGCATTTAGGTGATATTTGAAGAGTGTGCTTATATCCCGTTTTTTTTTTTTTTTTTTTACTTTTTGTTGAAAAAAAAAAAAGATAATGAAGATTTCTGCATCTTTCTGTTTGAATTGCAAGGCTACCGCCGCTGGGTGCTGTGCCCATTGACAGAAGGAAAATAAAAAAAAAAAAAGAAAAGAAAAGAAAAGAAGAAAGGAAAAAAAAGAAGAAAAAAAGAAAAGAGAGAAAGAGAGAGATGCACTCATGTTGTTTTAAAGGCGAAAATGAAAAAAAAAAAAAAGAAGAAGAGTATAAAAAGAAAGAAAGAAAGGATAGCCTCCAGAAAGTAAGCCATCACTGTAGAACCTTCTTTTTATTTACAGACTACAAACTATATCTATATATATGTATATATATATATATATATATATATATATATATATAAACATATATATAGTTG